GGGAAGGGAAGGTTTGGGAAGGGAAGGGAAGGGAAAGGAAGGTTTGGGAAGGTTTGGGAAGGTTTGGGAAGGGAAGGTTTGGGAAGGTTTGGGAAGGTTTGGGAAGGTTTGGGAAGGTTTGGGAAGGGAAGGGAAGGGAAGGGAAGGGAAGGGAAGGGAAGGGAAGGGAAGGGAAGGGAAGGGAAGGGAAGGGAAGGGAAAGGGGCTTCCCTGGGGGACTGGAGACCCCCTTGGGGAGCTGATGGGGGTCTCTGGGCCCGGCAGATGGATGGAGCTGCTGGAGGAGGCCGTGCAGAGTTCCACCAGGAATGCCACCTTCCCCCCCAAGCGCCGGACGGCAGAACCCACCGGCACGGCCCCCACGGGGTGAGGGGCTGCTCCGGGGGGCTGGGGACTCCTCAGGGGGGTTGGGATGGGGACAGGGATCATCCCTGGTCCCTGGGGACATGGGGGTGGCTGTCAGGGCTCTGGGGACCTGCTCTGTGCCATCCCAGGGTTCCTGCTTCCCGGTGGAGAAACTCCTCGCTGGGATTGGGAATGTGAGCCTGGAGGATCCACAGGGGGGTTGGGATGGGGACAGGAATCTTTCCTGGATCCAGAGGGGGGTTGGGATGGGGACAGGGGTCCTCTCTGGATCCAGAGGGGGGTTGGGATGGGGACAGGGGTCTTCCCTGGATGCAGAGGGTGGTTGGGATGGGGACAGGAATCCTCCCTGGATCCAGAGGGTGATTGGGATGGGGACAGGAATCCTCCCTGAATCCAGAGGGGGGTTGGGATGGGGACAGGGGTCATTCCTGGATCCAGAGGGTGATTGGGATGGGGACAGGGGTCCTCCCTGAATCCAGAGGGGGGTTGGGATGGGGACAGGAATCCTCCCTGGATCCAGAGGGTGGTTGGGGTGGGGACAGGAGTCCTCCCTGGTCCTTGGGGACACGGGGGTGGCTCTCAGAGCTCTGATTCCAGCCGGGAGCAGGTCAGGGAGAGCAGGGATCAGGGCTCTCATTCCTTGCCCTTCCCTGGATTCGGGGGGTCTCCCTCCCTGCCCCTGGCTGTGTTTGGGGAAGGTCTCCCCCTTGGGGGGGGGTCCCTCCCTGCTCCCACCTCCTTCCCAGCCCCCCTTTGTGCCCCAGGCTGGTGCTGCAGGACCCCGACGTGTCCCCGGAGCTGTCCCGGGGCTCGGGAGCGGAGCTGGAGCCGGAGGATTGTTCCTCGGGTGGGTTTTGGCCCTGCTGCCACCTCCCCTGTCACCTCCCTGTCACCTCCCCTGCCACCTCCCCTGCCACCTCCCCTGCCACCTCCCCTGCCACCTCCCTGTCACCTCCCCTTTCATCTCCCCTGTCACCTCCCCTGCCACCTCCCCTGTCACCTCCCCTGTCACCTCCCCTTTCATCTCCCCTGTCACCTCCCCTGTCACCTCCCCTGTCACCTCCCCTGTCACCTCCCTGTCACCTGGGGGGGGACATGGGGCTCAGCCCTCCCCCTTCCCTGTCCCATGGAGCTCATCCCTCCCTTTGCTCTGCCAGGGATGGCACCTGGAGCTCATCCCTGTCTTTTTCCCTGTCCCCTGGAGCTCATCCCTCCCTTTCCCATGGCACATGGAGCTCATCCCTGTCTTTTCCCTGTCCCCTGGAGCTCATCCCTCCCTTTTCCCTGTCCTCTGGAGCTCATCTCTCCCTTTCCCTGTCCCCTGGAGCTGATCCCTCCCTTTTCTCTGTCCCCTGGAGCTGATCCCTGTCTTTTCCCTGTCCCCTGGAGCTGATCCCTGTCTTTTCCCTGTCCCCTGGAGCTCATCCCTGTCCCCTGGAGCTCATCCCT